CCATTTCCAGCGAGTTTGGCCGACGGCCGAACGTGGCGGCTGAATCGAGCCGGCCGCCGCGGGGCGGGACGGGGCGGGGGGGGCGGGGCGGGGCGGTGCAGTTGTGTAGAACATTCTCCAAAAGGAGGAGCGCGATAGACGCGATACCACGTTGTGCGTCGGCAAACGCAGCGACTGCAGCGACCTAGGCCCGCCCCGACGTCATAGGCCGCCCATCCACGGCCCATTCAATCCCTCCTCCGAATGTCTAAAACAACGCTTTTCCCGGGCACGAAGCGACAGCGCCTTCCAGAAGCGACGAGGCGAGGCGCGCGGCCCAGACACTGGGAAATCAAACACTGATACGGGCCGTCATTATCGCGGCTGGAAAGAGAGACTTTTTGACGCGGAGAAGGCGGCATTTGTAAACGGAGGGAATGGTGGAGGAAAAACAGTGCCCCAGCAGGCCGCTATCGCATAGCACGCGTTTTGTACAGTCATGGCGCCTTTCCCTCGCTGGAGCTTGCTTCCTATTGTGCAAAAAATGCCATAATTTTTTTTGCGGTCCCAACTGGAATCGAACCCCAGACGCTGCGCTCCGTTCCCGAATCGGAAGCAGGAGACCGTCCGGGCAATCCAAACCGGATCAGTCACACGATCCGACGACGGTTGAGACGGGGATCCGACGCGTTGGAAATGAATGCAATTTTTTTTTTGCCAAATCGTTGACCGACTGATCTGGGCCGCAGAGGTGAAGGGCGGCGACGCAATCGAGGACCAATTAGCATGGCGATACGCCAATCACATGGCCGCACGCGCGAGGTACCATTTGCGCAGCAGCCCCGCAGTGGGCCAGAAGACCGGCGCAGGCGGTCAAAACTCTAGACGCGTTTTGAGCTCCAGAGTCGCTAAACAAGACTCAAACCGACCGTGTGACCCCACCAATGGTTTCCTCGTTTGGAGAGCAATTCATTGGTGGGATCACACGATCGATTTGAGCCCCTGCGACTGTGGAGCTCAAAACGCGTCCGGGATTTTAACCGCCTCCACCGGTCTTCTGGCCCACTGTGCGCCCCCCTGTTCGCTTTGCCTTGCCTCCGCCCCGATCGGTACCCGCCCCCGTCCGCGGCAGTAAGACCCCTCCGTGCTTCTCGGCGAGGTGTTCGCTTTCCCGTTGCTGCTGTCCTTGTCACGCGGCCCGGCCCGGGAGCGCGGCAGAATGAGACGGGAAATGCGGCAGAGACTTGAACGGGGGGCTGGGCCGGGCCGGGCCGAGGACTATAGTATTACCGTTCGGCACAATCCCGCTGTCCTCCTGTCGGAGAGAGACGGCGAGTGTCCAGTTTCCTGCCCTTGTTTTCGAGACCCGCCGTGTCTTATGCCACCCGCCGATTTATCGTACCCGCGCGTCCCTGTTTGAAGCTTCGGCTCCACCAGAATGCTGCAAACGAAACAAGTGGAATGGCAAAGTAATTCGAAGGGAAGCCTTGACCGCCTGCGAGGTAGGCCAGCAGCCCGCACCGCAACACACCGGTGCGGAGACGGTGGCCTATCTTACCCCTGTGAAGACGACAGGGGCGAGGTAGGCCACCGTCTCCACACCGGTGTGTTGCGAGATGGAATGGTGGCCCACCTCGCAGGCGCTACAAGCACCCGAGAAACGCACTGCTTGAGCGCTTTGGCGAAGGGTTTGGCCGATTTGTACTCGTTTGTGTCGTTCTTGGCGTGGACACAACGGTCTAGGACCACACCCTGTGGTGAAGTAGACTCTTAAGTGTTAGATGCAAAGTTCAGGTCGGACGGATTTTCCCACAGCAAACGGAAAATTCAAAATACCAATTCGGAAAAATAAAGAAAGATAAGCCAGAAAACGTGTTGATCTCCTCCTTTCCGCGCTGCTTTATTTATGAGTTGGTATTGACGCGAGCCGCTGGAATGCAGGCCTCTCCTCACTTGCAGAGGCTTCTTTTAATTACATAACCCAAGTCGGAGCATGTTGGGTGCTAGGTTCAAGCACACACACTGTATCAAACCACTTTTATTTATTTTTTTAACTTTTTTAAAATTCGAATTTATTTTTTGTTGCCGCGTTGACACCTCTCGGTCTGCTTGGGGTCCGCTCTCGGCCGGGCCGCCCCAAACGTCGCCGTTTATCGCCGATCGGAAGTAACCGAAGTGAACTCTTTATATGCTTTTGGCGAGGTCACGCCGGCGCCAGGGTCGCCTCGCTGCTGAGGGGGCCGTGTCAACGATAAAGTGGCTCTAGTGCGGCGGCCCAGCCGGCCGGCCTAGTGGTGACGCCGTGACGCCCTGACCCCCGCGGGGGAGTTCACGGGGAGGCCGGCACGGAGATCCCAGACCGGCCACTGACCCGCCTCCGTCTCGGACCGCTCAAACAAATACCTATGCACGCCATTTTTTGTTTGTTTTCGACTGGCCGCGGTGCGCCTTCGCGCTTCGCGGGCCTCGCTGACGATGACAAGTGCCCCAAGTCGGGCGCGCTGTTTGCTCGCCCGGACCAATGGGCGACGCTGCCAGTGTAGTGCACGGCGCGCATGGCGTCGCGCGGCGTCGCGTGTGTGGTGGGTGATATAACTCGCATACTCGCCGTCATCAAGAAGTCGAGTACTATTCCTGGCCCCCTCCCCACAGCCTCCTGTCAAACTCCGCCCGTGTGAGGCAGGCGCTCCTTGCGACAGGATATGCGACCGAGTCGCATAAATCGTGTGCCCCCCTCCCTCTCTGTTTTCGAATGCAGTCCGCTGCGCGCCCGTGCCGCCTGGCCGATTTTGGCCGAGAGCCCCCCTCTGTCTTCCTAGGCCTCTTGCTAGGCCGCCCCGGCGTTTCCGCCCGCCTGGCGCGACATACAGTCTGACTCTGGAGAGCGTCGCGTCGCGTCGCGGCGGCCCACCGCCTGGAGCGCCCCAGTGTGCCAGTGCTGCACCCAGTGCTCCGCAGTCCGCCGTCCCGCAGCACATGCTCCAGTGCACCAGCGAGTTCGGAGTGCGCCACAGCCGACTGCAGCCGCCACTGCAAGGCGAAGAAGTGCGCGGCAGAGCGAGCGCGACGACGCGGCTCTAGACCACCCCGAGCATCTCCAGCTGCGGCACAACCGCCTGCAGATGCCCGACGTGCTGATGGCGGACCTGCCCCTGTACCTCGCGGCCAGTGTGTGACAGTGTGACAGCATCATGAACGTTTTGGTGGGGGGTGCAGCGGCCCTCGGTACTCCAACTTTGTCGACTTTCTGGCACACTGTGATCATCGCTGGCATCTGCCAGTAACGCACGCTAATCCTGGCTTGCTACTCGCACACTGTCATCTGCCACGCCCTCTTCATCCTCAGGCCAAATCCTTATAGTGCGTCTCGTACAGGTACTAGAGAGACAGAGCGACGCAAACGACTCTCAGAATCAGTCTACACGCGGTGTGCTCATAGTGACGCTGTTGTGAAGAAGCCGACTGGCGATACCCCCTGTCTGCGGCGCGGACACTGCACTGTGTTTCTCGCGGCGCGGAGTATCGCCGGACTTCCCTCCTCCGGCCGGGCCGCGCGCTTCATTGGTTACGCGCGCTAGGCCGAGCCGTAAAGCGCGGCGATGGGTCCTTGCGCGCGGAGTATCTCCGAGCAGCGCGTTGGTGTGTGTTTGTGAGTGTGTGTGTGTGTTGGTGAGCGCCGCCCTTGGCCTTGAATGTACGTTAGGCCGAACATGTCCGCAAACCGCAGGGGAGGGTGGGTATCTGGTTCGAAGCGAGCAGTTTCCTTGGCGGCCGAGCCATGGCCGAGCGCCCCACAAGGCGGCATTGTGATTTGCCCCTCCGCCCTCTATTTTCGCTTCCTGGCCTGCGCCCCCCGCCCCACCCCTTCTCGAATGACCGCTATTATGGCGCATGCGGTCGCGCGGTCGCTCGGGAGTGCCGCGGCGGCACCCCGTGGCTGCAGACTGATTCCGAGAGTCGTCGCTCTGTCTCTCTCGCACTCATGGCGCGCCCCGTATAGGTGCGAGAGAGACAGAGCGACGCCTCTCAGTGTGCCGGGCTGGGCGATCAGTCAGCTGATGGGCACGTGTCACCCCCCCCCCCCCCCGCAGGGAAGCCCTTGAGGGCGCTGCGCAGTACAGGGACGTGTACGTCACACCGGTCTTACTGCATGTAAGGGGGCGCCGTGCGTGCGGCCGGCGCGGGCACACCGCACGTTTTGGCACAGACTGACCGGCCCAAAAAAAAGGCTCTCCAAAAAAACGAACGAATCGGTTTTGCGCGTCGTTTGCCGTTTACAGGCTGGAGGTGTTTCATTCTTCGACGCCCGCCTTACTTTGCGATAAGTATTCGGGGATGCGGGCGTTTTCGCGGCGAGCTGTTGTGTAACGGCGGTCCGCGCGTCCGCGCCGCGACGCCGATCTCGGCTTACTGCGCATTGTCCGACGCCCCCCCCCCCTCTCTCACCGTGCGCTGCATACGGCACACGCGTCTCCGGCGCCTAGATGCATTAGTCTACCGTTGGGGAAAAAGGCCCTGGACTTTTTGCCTGTGCGTCACCGAGCACGCTACGCCAGCTAACGCCCGCCCGTTCGGAGCGAACGTCATTTCAATTGTCGGGGTTTGAAATGTGGGCGCCCTTCCCTCGAGCGGGCGTGCCGTGTCGCCGAGTGTCCGCCGCACGAGCCAACCTTGCCCTTCGCGGCTCACTGAAGCCTCTTGATCGGTGAGGTTGAGGGGGGGGGGGCAGGAAGGGCGTGGCCGCGGCGCGCAGGGCGGACGGGCCGACCGACCGACGGGCTGCAGAGGTTTACCGGGGTTTGGTGCCTGGACCCGCGCCGGCCCGCGCCGGCCCGCCGAAGCGGCCGTCTCCTCTGCCTGCCCACTGCCCCGCGAGGCCGATGGATGGACTAGTCGGCCGCCGAGCACCGCGACGCACGGCAGCGAGTCCCGCCGCACGCCGCAGGCACGCGCGTGCGTTTAAATCCCCCGCGCCCCTTCGCGCGCCAATTCGTCGGCCGTCCCTTCGGGTCCCTTCGGTCCCTTCCCGACGATCACCCGAATGGGCGAGTTCGCCTTCGTGTCCGTGTCGCGTTCGCTCACGTCGCTCCTCGAGGGCAGTGGTGCGTGTGATCGTCTGTTGTGGTCGTCGTGGTGCATCCCGGTTCATCCCGGTCGGCGTGGCGGCGTGGTGTTTGGGGAGCATCGCCTGGCATCGCCGCACGAGTGGCACGAGTGGCACACTAGCATTCGGAGCATTCGGATCTCGCACGAGGAAAACATTGGCCAAGCACGCCGTCTCATCTTCTGCTTGTGAACGCTAACCAGCGAGCGCTGTACGTCGGCTGTCTATTGTTGTCACTGTTGTTGTTTTTCGAGGTTCGTGCTTCGGTGGCGGTCATAACTCTGTTTCCTGCCGTTTTCGCGAGGTTCTGGTGATGGTGTTTTGATAGCTGTCATAGCGGTTTCTGCATGCGGGGGGTGTGCCCCGCCCCCTGGGTCTCCCTCTCTCTCTGTCACACGTCGCCACAGGTGTCAGCCAGGACGCCAGTCAAAGACAGTGTCGCGAACCGATCCGTTTGAAAGGAAAGTAGCAGTGTAATGGACCAGCTGAGGAATTACTACCACGACTGCTACCGCCGCTACCGCGGCGTTTGCTTGCCCTGCCAAGCCTCGCCTGTTTACTGCGGCCACTGCGGCATGGTGAGGACGGACGTGACCTGTCAACGCGTGTCAAGCGTTTTAGAGGTTATGTTGTTTTTTTTTGGTCAATTTCCAAGGCGTCCGTCATTTGTCATTTTGAAACATTTCAAACTGGCAAAAGTTTTTACATGTGACAGAGCGAGAGAGAGAGAGAGATTGCTAGATCAGGGTGTCGTGGCGTACACTGTTAAAAAAACTAATATTTTCGTTACGGACATTTCACAGCCAATAACGTAAATCTGTCATTGACCATAAATATTCCATCATTTGCATTCTACTTGTTTGCTGCTCTCATTTTTTTAAATCTCCATTGCCGTGTAGATTAGCGAGTGATTGATCGTTTTCGGTGATTGTAAATGTTTAACAGTGTACAGTGCCTTGCATTGCGGCGTAGGTGGCTGAGGCCACGCATCGCGCGTTGCTCGTCCGACGCGGTCCGACCGCCGGACAGCGGACCGGGTCCCGTCTTCGGACGAGGACATCCGTCAGAATCAAGTCCCGTGATTAGGGAAAAAATCAACAAAAATGTTATGGTGAGCTTTCAAACTAGCTCCCTAGTAGATAGAAGACTAGCTGATAGGCATGGTGACTGCTGCAAAAGCTTCGTTTAGAAAAGGACATTACTAGCCTGTAGATGCAGACCTTTTCTAACTGCTGTAAATATTTCTCTTTTTTAGGGGAGGGGGGCTTTGTTAGTGTTTTGGTTAACGTCCGACGGTCCTCCCTTTCTGACATTCAACTGTCCTATGCAAATCTTCGATTGCATCAACTCGGATTCCGATTCGCCTGTTTATTTCCGCGTTACATAATCAACTTATTTTTTTTTCCTGCGACGTCAGATTTTATTCCCAGGCGATTAGTCTGCCGATAGAGCACGGCGGCCAGATGCCTGTCCAGTTGCCTCCTCGGGGAATTTTCTCCCGCGGTCACTTAAAATCTGTCGGAATCCGCGAAACCTTTGGCGGGCCTCGCGGTGCAGAGCGCCTTGCGGGTAGGCAACCCGCGAGCTTCTGCGCGTCGCCGCGGCCTACCCCGCATCACCATTACCATTAAGGGCTGGGGGCTCCAGACCGCAAGCCCCGCCAGCCCAGCTGCGTAGGGCCCTCCGCGAAAATCGTTCCCCCCGCCGTGAGTCGCGGGGTATTGCCGCGGGCCCCCTGCGCGTGGAGTATCGCCGGGAGTTTGATTTCTCACCCGGCCAGTCCGGCTCAAGGCGAGCTAGCCGTCAGCGAGTTCGGACACGCGGGCCGGCTGCGCCTGCACTGCACACGGCCGTGCGCACACGTGCGTCCACTCCTCGGGCTTCTAGTGTAGTGGGGCGTCGCGCCAGATTAGAATTGAGACGGGCGCGGATACCCCACGCGGCGTGTCTCTGCGGCGCAGGGTATTGCCGAGACGGCGCTTCGCCGAAAGTAAAGGGACTTCCCTCGTCATGGGCCCCTTTCCTGGGCCCCAATGGTGGCCCCGGAGGCCAGGATGCTGGCGTGGCGCGGTGCTCCGAATGCCGAGCGTCCAGCCCGTCCAGGGCCAAGTCGTTACGCAATGGGCGCGGCCTGCGCTAGGAGGAAGGAAGGAAAAAAAAACGTGTCGTGTATTTTTCGGTTTGTCGTTATTTGGGCTGGGGGCTCTCCTTGCGTCACGCGTGCGTTATGCAAGGAGTACTCTAGGTTGCGGTCGGCACCGTAGACCACCCGACACCTTTCGATACGAAGGGAGAGGGGGGCAGGGCCTTGTACAGCGTCTATTTTCGCGCCTTTCTTTGGGGTGTACAAATATGCTTTGCGTTTTTCCTGCTTTGAGGGATGCACTTGGGTCACAAATCCCATTTAGTTGTTGCGGGTCTGTCCTCGGCCAGTCCCTGTGCTGCTCGGCGCGGTCTTTGTCTAATTGCTTGATTGACCGCTTCACTTGTCTACCCCTTCGAGCAGACACGCAACTGTCTGTCTTGGGACAGGAACGCACTTAAATTACATGGCTCCGAACCGATTCGTTCTATTTTTGTAAACTAACCGAGACGAGCTTTTTTGCCTTTTCACCGCCTCTTATTACCCATCACTCTATATCCTCTCCTCGTTGTTTCTTGAGCATTTCGAACATGTGGACCAGCCACTTAATTCGACTAACCCCAGCGTGCTGGCTCGCGCCGCCGTAGTCCTGCATTCGCTAACCATCGGACGATTAAATGCTGACTGGCTAGTGGACGCCCCCTAGAATGTTTGGTTACGTAAGGTGCGCCGGCCGCGTGCATGCGCGCCCCCTGGCGGTGGAGGCGAGCACTAACGCTGGGCTGGGGCGGGCAGGGCGGGCAGCGACGCCGGATGGCACGAGGTACGGGACGTACGGGATGGCAGGCAGGGTGGTGGCGGTGGTGGAGGCGATGGTGGCGGCGAGGAGTCCTGACGCGACGCTTACGCGACCGACGTGTTGTTGTGTAGGTTGTGGTGGTGGTGGTGGTCGCTGCTGCACATCCGCCGCGCCGCCAGCCGACTCGACGCCTATTTCTTTCTCCCGTCAGACGCGAACGCCATCTTGGCGTCGGCCGCCGCGGACGAGCACCTCATGGACCCCCAGCACCAGCAGAGCGCCGCCAGCGCCGCCAGCGCCGGCGAGGACGACGCTGGAGGGGGGCCGCCGCGGCGTCGCTCCGTCGGCGCGCTGCTCAAGCTCAAGAGCAAGAAGAAGGAGTCGCCGCAGTTGCGGGACAGCGACTCGACGGCCGCCAGTGAGACGTCGCTGGACGTGGTGCCCAAGAAGAAGACGGGCTTCTTGCGCAAGAGCAGCAGCAGCAGCAAGAAGGTGAAGGAGGCCGACAGCCCGGACGGCGCGGCCGTCAAGAAGCCCAGCAAGGCCAAGTCCCTGGTGCGCAAGCTGAGCATGAGCAGGAATCGCAAGAGCAAGGAACCGCCGCCCACGGACCCGGACACCTCCGACGACGACGGCCACACGTCCAACGCCAGCTCCACCACGGCGTTCGAGTCCGCCGTCGAGGGGTACGCGACGCCCGCTGCCACGCCGCCGCCGCCGCCGCTCACCCCGCCCCCCATGGAGGAGGACGAAGACCAATCGGACGGGGGGCCTGGCGGTGCTGGGGGTGGGGGGCCCGGGCCGCGCGCCGCGTCCGTGGCCGAGCCGCCAGTCTCCACCGTCACGCTGCCCGCACTGGAGGCTGTCCCGACGCTCGACGCCGACATGAAGGGTGAGAAGCAGCCGCAGAGGGCCGGCGCGCACGGCGGCGCCGTCAAGAAGACCCCCAAGGGCAAGGCGTCGTCCTCGCAGGGGCTGGTGGACGAGGAGCGCAAGCAGTCGACGCGCGGCCAGCTGCTGTCCATCACCACCCCCGCCCTGCAGAAGCAGCAGAAGCAGCTCAACGGGCAGGCGGCGGCCGGCACCGCGCCCTCCGCCGCGCCCCCCGCCACCCCGACGGGAAGCACGCCCCCCACCACCAGCGGTGCGTCCGCCCTGTCCGCCCCCGCGGATGTGGTTCACGTGGTGGCCGAAGTGGGCGGGCTCACCCCGAACGGCAGCGGCGCGAGCGGCGCCCTCGACAGCACGCAGGATAAGCCCACCAACGGCGCCGCCACTGCCACCATGAAGTCCTCGCCGCCGCCGACGCCGCCGTCGCCGTCCTCCGGGGACCTGATGGCGGACGCCAGGAACAAGCTGTCGCAGAGCCTCGGCGTCCACGACTCGGTAGGGGCACATGTGTTTTGGTGTAGTGACGTCACGGGGCTTATATAAGCCGCGAGTCCGCGAGGTGCCGCGGCCTAGCAGTGGAGTGGAGCGCGGCAGTGAAGCAGCGCGGCGCCTCCACCGAGCCAAGCGATGTGATGTGATGCACGGTGAATCATTTCATTATGTGACTGACACTTTTCTGGCAGTGTCCGCTGCAATCCGGTCGGAACCGCCAGGGCTAGCTTTGCTGGAAAACCCGTTTCCATTCGCCTTCAGTCAAATTTGAACCGCGGCCAAAATGTTTGCGGTTGCCGCGAGGGTTGAGTTAGTGTCACCTCGAGGGCTGTGCCGCGCTGCCGCTCTGCGTAAGCAGATACGCGGGTCCTTGTAGGGCTGTCGCGAGCTGTCTACCCCCTCCCCCTCCCCCTCGGCTCACACGCCAGCCGTCGCCAGGCCGTGGATCAGGTTGTCACTGATTTGAATCGATGGAGCCGGGCAGAGCAAAAGCACAGCAGAGCCAGGTGGGGCCATTGCTGGCGTGATGAATGGAGGTGCTTTGCTCGTTTCGTCCTTTTTTCTCTTTGCCGACTTTATCAGCCGCCTCACTTTCTTTGCCCAAGGACTCTGCCAGAGTCCTCTGGCGGCGGCTCCTCAAAGTTCACGACTTCCATTTTATTAGTGTGCGCGCCTTTCGAACACGGACCTTCCCGTCCGGCCGGTTTGGCACCGCTGCAGTTGCATTTTGCACGAGTGCACCAGTGCACGCTGAGAGCAACGAACGGCGCAAACAGGCGGAGGGGCTGCGCTTGGGCCGCGCGGCGACGTCCCCGCGTCAACAAAGGCGGGCGCCGGCTTGCCAGAACGCCCTTGGTGCGGAGTGCGGCAGTTGCAAGGGTTTGTTTGTGGCGTGCACAGGGCGTTTGGCACGCCAGGGCGTTCCTACCGGCGGCAGGGGGAAGGGGGGGGGGCAGCGGTGGCCTAACGGGTTTAGGGCGGCGCGGGGGTGGTTTCCTGCCGTTCGCTGAGGTCGCCGGGGTGACTCTGCAACGGCCTGAGTGTTTCATCGCGCTGTCTCTCTCGCACTCCCGCGGGACGCCCATGAGTGCGAGAGAGACTGTGCCTGCGGCCGGTGCACGGTTATTCACTTTACCGGCGTGTTTCGGACCGTCATCGCTTGATTTGCTGAGGGGCCCGATGATGGGGGAGTGGTGTAGGCCGGTTGGCCGGGGTGTCAGAGCGAGAGAGAGCGGCGCGTAAGTGTATTCGGTGTCCGGGTACTTTGTCCCGTTCGCCTTGTACAGGTGTGCCGTGCTGCAGTATCGATGCCCGCGGATCGGGTCTGTGCTTCCCACAGAGTTGCTCCTGCGGCGGTGGCGCTCGCACTTCGCAGCTCCGGGGCCCCGGCAGGGAGGCCAGCCCGGCCTTGTTTGTCTTGCCGGCGACGACGGCCTTCCGTGGAAACCGCACTGGAAAATTTGGAAGCCGTCGGCCGGCCGATGGACAAGTGCCGGGCGAGTCGGTGCAGCCCCTCGGGGGTCGTCGCGGTGCTTGCCCTCGGAGTCCGTCAGCTCGCTACTCGCAGCGGAGGCCGTGAGCAACGACAGTGTGCAGGAAAATGTAACTCTTTTTGATGTTTTCAAAAAATTTCTGAGTGGTATCGATAGACGTGGTCGGGATGATTTCCCTAAGGTGGCATGACCGGATAAGCTTCGTCATGCGGCCGCTCTTGCCACTACCTCTTCCATTCCGAGGCCCCTTCGGCCCCTCCCCCTTTCTCCGCGCTATCTGTGTGTGTTTGGCCCGATAAGGGTGCGTCCGGCCCCTACACTGTCTCTCTCGCACCCCTGCGGTCCCACGGGACGCCCCGCGAGTGCGAGAGAGACTCCGCGACGAAAGCACTGGCCGGCCGGACTCCCGCGGCTTTCCCAAGGCTTTCCCACCACCGTCCACCCCTGACCCATTTATTTGTGTTGCCGAAAACAATGACTCCACAGCCATGCGGTCGCGTCACTGGGGCCCCGGGCGCCCCATGCGCTGGAAGGTGATGCTGCGTGCCAGTCGGCCGCCGCACGCCCAGGGATGCTGCACGCCGTCGTGATGGGCGCGGGGGCCAGGGCGGGCAGGCCGGCCACCAGGAGGCGCTCCATCGCCACGGACCTCCAGGTGTACAACGACCAGGTCGGTGTGTTCGGGCCTCTCACACTCCTGAGGCGTGAGGGAGCGAGAGAGACTTCTGTTTTCCGCGTGGTGAGCGTAAGCGTCTCGGCTGGCGGTGACAGCATCCGAGCCTTTCCGTCTTGGAGTGTAGTGTTCCCGGCTGCCTGCGACGTCTGCGACACGCACATGCCTCAAAGTAGCGCACTGTTGCAACAGTGGGGTTTGCGCAGATAACGAGTACCAACTTGCCGATGGTTCCGATGGTAACCCGACGCTGCCAACACGCGAGAGCTGAAGGCGGTTTGGCGCGCTGCCGGTGTGAACGGCCTGGTCCTCGGCCATGTTGGCGGCCCTGCGCTAATGAGACTAGACGGTGACGTCGCCGTCGGCGTGCCGTCGGCGTCCTGGTGGCGGCGCGGCGCGCACTGATAAGCACGGCGATCTACCGTCGTCTCGCCGCGATCGTCCCGACAGTGGTGGCGGTGGCGGCTGCAGGCGATGGCCCGCTCCGCTTAGCTCCGCCGGCCCCGGTTCCCCGGGTCCGCGCGCCGGGCTGCCGGGCCCCGCAACGCCCGGCCTGCAGTCGACGCCGTCCCGTCCTCGTGGTGGGCCGCACCACCGACACGACCACCATCGCCTCCTCGACGTCATGCGGGTCCGTAGCGTGTGTGTGTGTGTGAGCGTGCAGTGCGTGTGTGAGTGTGTTCGTGACGTGCGTCAGCCAGGTCGTACATTTGTGCGAAGGATGTCCGAATGAGAAAAGCTCGGAGTGATGTCGGTCGGGTCCGTGTCATTGTTGGCGTTTTGGCGGCCGAGGCGGACGGACACCGAGGGAAGTCGTGTTGCAAGCCTGACAGGCGTTGTTGGGGCCAGCGCCCGGCCCGGGCCCCGCGTGGCCCCGCGTGGGGCCGTGGGGCGCGGCTGCCCCCGAACGATTTACTCCGCCGATAATCCAATCCACTCTTGCCGCCATGTTGTTTTTCCCGACTGACCCCTGCTCGGCGTGCTCGGCCACGGCGCCCACGGCGACCACGGCAGCGCGGCCGCGGCTTGACAGTGGAGCGGCTTGGCTGGCCCTGCAGTGCGGACGGCCGGGACGGCCCTGATCTTGACGCCATGGAAGGACCCCTTGGCCAGGTCGAGGCTGGCGGGGCTGGTATGCCTGCCTGGCGGGGTTATCGCCCCTCCCGCACCTTTCTCCTTGATTGGGTGCGACGAGGATGGCGGCCAGGTGCGGCCCGCGGCTGGGCCTGCAGACCGATTCAGAAAGTCGTCGCTCTGTCTCTCTCGCACCTATACGGGACGCCCCACGAGTGCGAGAGGGACAGAGCGACGAAAACAACTCTGTCTGCAGGTTGGGCCAGGCTGGGCCCGCGGTGCCGCGATGGGGGCGCCGGCCCCTACGTCTAGTATCAGTGCACCGGGCGGCCGCGCCACACCGCGGCACGCAGAGCGGCACGCCGCCGGCCGGGTTAGCCTTGGCGGGGTTGGCAACGACGAGCTTCGCCTGCAGCGGGGTGTGGCGGCCGTCGCGCGGAGCCCTGTGGTCGCGCCGCGCCATGCGCAGCGGCCTGCAGTGCGCGTCCCTCCGGACGGTGCGCTCCTGCGACCGCATGGGGCTCTTGGAGTGCTGCGCGCCGGTAAGCGGCGGCCTCGCTCTCTAGCCTCGGGCCCAGCCTAGCACAGCCTTGCTTTTGGCGCCAAATTTGAAATGGAGCCCGGGCTGGCGGTGATAGCCGGGCCGGTTCGCGCGGCGCGGCCCGGGAGGCACGTAGCACGGCGACGACAGCGGCCGAAGGGGCCGAAGGTGCCCAAGCCGAAACAGGTGATGCACGAGTGCGTTTAGCCAGCGGACTCGCTACTCGCTGTCCGTGGGGTGCGTGTTCATGAATAATTAATTCGGCCCGGAGAATTATTGTCCAGGATGCTGATTCCAAACAGTGCTTTCGTCGCTCCGTCTCTCTCGCTCACGGGGCGCCCCGTAGGGGTGCGAGAGAGAGACAGGGTTTTGCTGCCATCTCCCTCGCGGCCTTCCCGATCCCGTCTCTGCCGGGCTTCAAGTTTGCAGCGGCGAACGCCAATTGCAGCGACTTGGGGCCCCGCCAGCCCCGCCACGCGTGAAGCTGTCACCTCGGATCGCCGGCTTCTCTCGTTCCCATCACGGCGGGACCAATTTTTTATCCGACGGGTGGAATGTCCAAACCGGTGGAGAAACGACTTTGATTTTTGCATGCCCTGTTAATTTATTTTCTGTTCGTTTTTCCCGGGCGTTTGATTGTTGTTCGCCACGGCGCGCGGGTCTGAATCCGTCCTTGCGCTGTGTCGTGTCGTACCCCGTGGCGGTCCTGACGAACCCTCGTAACTCGGGGCCCCGAGGGGCGGAACCAGTTGGCGAGCCGGTTTGCTGATTTTATTTGGCCGGTTAGGACGATTAGGGGAGCCCAGGGCGTAACTCCTGCAATGGCATTTGTGGCTGCGCGCCGGCGCCCTGTCGCGACTCCCGCCGCGTGAGCTACGGCCTCGGCCGACCGCGGTTCCACGGCGGCACCGCGGTCAGAGTGTTGCCCCAAACCACTCGCTCCTTTTTCTCTTTTGCTTACGGCCACGTCGGCCACGTCGGCCGCCCGGTATCTCGGCCCTTGATCGCAAAATGGATCGAAAGTGTCGTCCGCGCGGCGGTGTGGCCGGCCGGACGCGCGCTGGAATGTGGACAACACGATTTCGCAATCATGAATGGCGATGCACGATGAACGGGCTAATGAATGGATGAGCACGAGAACGGATGGGTGGAGTTATAGGGAATGAAGAAGCAGAGAATGGATGAATGAATGAATGAATGAATGAATGAATGAATGAATGAATGAATGAATGAATGAATGAATGAATGGCCGAACGAGAAATGGCGAAATGACTAAATGGCTGAGCGGAAACTGAAGCTTTGTCCGACTGCAGCCATCTGGTGCATCCTAATGATCGCGGGCCTCGGCCGTCGCGTCACTTCGCGTGTTTTCGTCCCTGGCCCGCTACACCACTGCCTCGCAGTCGGCTCGCCGATGAAGCTGTCGCCACGTTTGTACGGCCGTGTCGAATGTGGCGCTAAACACCGTCTTTACGTACCCAGCGCAAACTGAGCTGATTGAGTGTTTACCTGCGGTTACTCTGCGGCCGGCGGCCGCTCCGGACTAACAAGGCGGTGAGTAGTCATAAGCTATCGGGTGTTCCGCGCGGCCGCCGCGGCCGGTGGGAGAAAACGGTCGAGTGACTCCGAAAGAGAGCGCGCGAGTGGCTGGAGAGAATGGGGATGCTGACGCCGCCGGCCGGCCGACAGATGCTTCCCTGCTGCAGCGCGGCGTGCGCGGCGTACTAGGGCGTACGGCTGCCTGGCGGCCACGGCGCCACGGCCCCTCGGAACGCCTAGGTCAGCACGGTCGGCGAATAAAGCCCTGGGTCGGCGAAACGGCTAGGGCTAGCCGCCGGGCCGGCGGGGCGGTGCGAGGGTGGCGCTGTCCGCAGTGCGTACCAGAGCCCCGGCAGAGCCGCAGCCGTCGGTCCTCCTCCGTGCGACTTGCAACCCCGGCCGCACCATGCTGTGCTTTTGCTACGACTTGATCTGCTCGTGTTTCTCGAAGCTGCACGGCAAGGTAAGGCGGCGCCGGAAACGCCTCGGCCAACCTGCCTTTCGGCTGTGATTGTTTTCAAGTAAACGGTTTGGCTTCGTTTGGTCTCGGCCACGACGTGCCACGACGTGCTTCGCGTGTCGCGGCCGGCCTCGCTCACCTTACGTAACCCGATGCCCCCGCACGCGGTGCGCACGGCGCGCGGCCCGGCGAGCGGCACGGCCCGGGGCACCGCCTCGGTGCCAGGGTCAACGCACCTACTTAAAGCCCCATCGTGCCGTTCAGTTCCTCGCGCGCCTCGCGTTTGGGAGGCCCGAAGTCCCAAATCGGAGGCTCCAGGCTCTCCCACGGCGGCTAGGCGGCTCCAGCGGAGAGGCTGGCCTTCTAGCCTTCCCTTCTGGAAAATTCCAGAGGAGTCGAGGGCACTCCGATCCCGTTCCTCATTCCCGATTCCCGACCCTCTTCTCCAGCCTGCCAACCCGGCCGGACGGGCTGCGCTCGGCTCGGTCCGGCTCGGCTCGGCTCAGGACCCACGGTCACTGCTTATGTAACGCATGGCTGCGGCGGATCCTGGCCAAGCTGTGCTCTCCGGCGCAGCCGCAGTGCTTGCTGGAGCCTCCAGCCCTCCAGACCGGGCCGGGCTGGCCGGGTAGGGGCCTTGACCCTGACCTACGGCACCGGGGTGTCCCACCCAGGGCGGCGCACCCCACCCCCTTCCGACCGGAGCGCGCGTCGCCGCGTTCGAAATTCGCGCCAGGCACGGCCGGCTGCGGCTGTCCCGTCGGTTGCTGGAGGAGTCCGGCGACTGGCGGGACAAGGCGCCGCTGCCGCCGATGGTGGTGGAGCCGTCGCCGTACGACTGTTTCGTAAGCACGCCCTGGCTGCGACCGCTGCGACTGCAATGGCACCAGCACCGCCATTCACTCATTGCTTTATGCTCGTTGTTGCAGGCGCAGATGTCCGGCGAGAAGCGCGAGCACCTGTATAAGATCCTGGTGATCGGTGAGCTGGGCACCGGCAAGACGTCCATCATCAAGCGGTATGTGCACCAGTTCTTCTCGCAGCACTACCGCGCCACCATCGGCGTGGACTTCGCGCTCAAAGTCCTCAACTGGGACCCCGCCACCATCATCCGCCTGCAGTTGTGGGACATAGCAGGTGAGTTTGTCCTCTCTCGACGCACTACTGCCCGTGTCCCTTATTTTGTTTTGACTCGACGTGGTGTGCTTTGCAGGCCAGGAGCGCTTCGGCAACATGACCCGCGTGTACTACAAGGAGGCCGTGGGAGCCTTCATCGTGTTCGACGTGACGCGGGCGTCCACCTTCGACGCCGTGGTCAAGTGGAAGCAGGACCTGGACTCCAAGGTGCAGATGGCGGACGGCTCCCCCATCCCCTGCGTCCTGCTGGCCAACAAGGTCCGCGTCGTCTCTTACAGTTTGTGCCGGCACACTGCGTTGGTGGTGAGCGAGGGGTGCTGACTTGTTCTGTTTTCGTCTTGCAGTGCGACCAGCAGAAGGAGGGCATGGTCAACAACCCCTCCAAGATGGACGAGTACTGCAAGGAGAAGGGCTTCACTGGCTGGTTCGAGACCTCCGCCAAGGAGAACGTCAACATAGAGGAGGCTGCGCGCGCATTGGTATCGAAGGTGAGGCCTGAACCGCCGTGCGGGTAGGCAGCCCATCGGACGAGTCGGATGGGCTGCCTAACTACAAGGGTCTTCGACTCTTGCAGTTGAAAGGCTAGACCAGTACTCTCATCTCTAGCTGCCCAATGTCGATGTGAGGATAACGTTGGCTTTTACTTGCAGATTCTCCTGAACGATAAATTGCTCCATGGAAACGACACGAAAGACCCAACGAAGATAGCGTTAGACAACAACGGCAAGGCTGGCGGGGAGGCGACGAGCGGCAAGTCTTGCGCGTGCTGACGAGACGTGCCCTAAAGCCAAGGGAACTAATCTAAGTCATTTTCAGAGTCATGAAAGTCATCGTTTGATTATGATGTCCCTGATGCATTTTGTGAATTCCTCAATTTGTGTGTCATTTGTCTTTATGTTTGACCTCTCGTCAGTGCAATGTCTTTCTCACATACATGATTAGCTCATAAGAGCACTTTAACTTGAGATTTTATGGTAAATTAGTAACTTTTATTGACAAAACCAAAGCCAGCAATATTAAACTTAACTGTGTTTCGTGGTTGTGCAACCCGGTTTTGCATGATGTGTAGCTTTGTGTATCACAGGATAATAATGTCTTACTTGCCATGTTTGTGTGGCACATTATTATGTCAATTGTGCATTTAAGTAACTAGGTGCTTTATATCTGATTGTTTTTCTCTTGAGTTTTAAAATATCCAGTACGGAAAAATGCATCAAATATTATTTCCGCCCTTTACAGCCCAATCCCGATTTGTTTGATGATCTCATCTTTGATTTTTAAAGAAAATTTTAGCCGTTCACTTTTGATTTCTTTCAAAGCCTGATAGATGCTCTCTGTTACCAGGAATGACAACTTAACCATATTTTATGAATGAATTGAAAATAGATCATAAAATGTTTGGTGTTTCATTGAAATTTTAACAAATCATATTTTTGGACGTTTTTTGAAAGAACCTGCACTGTTATTTATCTCTGGATGTACCTTTTAAGGCTATCTTGAACAACTGCCTACCAAGAAAATTAGAAATAAGACTGTAAAAGATCAACTCATGAAACTTATTGTATGTGTGTAGGCATTTCCTTCCATGCATGTTAGTTGTACATTGTGCCATGAAATTTGTTCTAATGTGCCATCTATTTCCTCAATCATACTATATTGTGGTATTTCCCTGTGATAAGTTATCTTAACTTAGCATTCTTTCACGAAACTTAACCATTATGATTAATGATAGTGGAACCTTGCGTACTGAAGTGATTTTTAGGAGCTGAATTATTGTCTCCGAGCACCAGAATATGTATTGCTCTTCTTTATTCAATCTCCAATAATGTATTATCTATTAATAGACGGTACAAAACTAACAAAATTAATTGTAGGATCATAGGAGCTTTCACATTTTAGATATTGTTTCAGTTTTTAAATTTTTGCTTTAAACCATTTAAATATCAAAGTAAAGTCTATGATCTACTGACAATTACATGGTTCAAAGTGCCTTTTTTTTTGCTAGTTTTATGTCTGATTTTGATCGTGCTGTTTATGTTGCACACTTTGTGCTTTTGAACAAAAGATGCCATTAAGTGTACATAGTATCTTCATTTAAACACTTTATGTACATTACTGAACAATTTTATTTAAGCTTTGTAGAATTAAATGTTTGTCAATCTGGAGTATTATTTTTGAACTCTATTCTGTTATAATGATGTTTGAAAATTATCAACCATTCAACATGAAGGTTTTTTATTTAAATAGGTGGGACGTTTGCCGCCAAATATATTCCAGATACATCCCACTTAGTTTTAAAGGATAATTTCTATATTGTGATTTCCTGATGCTACTGTGGTCATAAGTTGTATCATACTTCTTCAAAATAAATGTTTTTATAGTTATTCAACAACTTCTTTAATTGCCACTTTGTCACATAGAATTTGACATGAAAGAAAGAACGTATGTTTGCAATACTTGTACTTCAGAGGACGACTGCAGTGTCCCGGCTTCCCGGCTTACACATGTACATATCACACAATAATAGAGATCATAATAATGCCGGCGATTCAGAGAAGCAAAAATAAATAATCAGCAGAAGGCGTCACAGATAAGTGCTGGCGGGTCCGCTAAGGGTGTCTCTGGCGAGCCAAGACACGGCCCGGTGGCCGAGGTCTTCCTGGATCCGGGCCCGTCCAAGTCCGCCGGCGTCCTGAGCGTGACGGCGCTCGCGGTGCCCATCTGAGCTCGTTGGCTGTGAGACGCGCGGGAGCTCTCCGTATCTGGACAGTTCCAAATCTGAAGTCAGCGTCGCAAGATAAGAGAGTCAGGAATTCCCTTTCTAAACGCGTTGATGGCAGAAATAAAATGGAGCAACGCGTATCCTTGCCGAGATTCGAACCCGCGGACTGCCTACGCGACTCACCCGCGGACTGCCTGCGCGGGCTGAGCCACTTGTGCGTGAGCACGGGGCCGCAGCACGCCGCGGTGAGGCGGCGGCCGAGTCGCGCCAGCACCTGCCGGTACTTGGGGATGGTGAGGGTGTACAGCACCGGGTTGATGGCCGAGTTGATGGGCACCAGGAACACCACGACCCACGCGTACAGCTCGGCTGCAACAACCACACGTCATCCCCATGGCCTCCTGCTTTTCCCAGTGGCCACCCCATTCGGCACCCCCCCACGCACCGGAAATGTGGACACCCGTCAGCGCGAGGACCTTCATGATGGCGATGGGCAGCCAGCAGCACGCGTCCGTCAGCACGATGAAGAAGAAGCGCACGGCCACGTCCACGTCGCCCACGGCCAGCGGGGTGGCGCGCCGCGTGCGCACGATGCTCAAGAACATGCCCAAGTACAGCAGCGCCACCAGCAGCAGGCTGGAAGAGAGCGGTCATGTCACGTTAGAGCTCCCAGGGGAAGACCCTTCCGTTTCACTGTGAGTTTCATGAGGGGCGCCTGTGCGACTGGCAACCGACAGCCCCCGAGAACAAAAATTATGTGTTGGGTATGTCTTGATTGCCATACCCTACAGGGCGACGAGCACAAGTGCCGCCGTCCCCGCATGCCATAAGAGACAAACACCCTTTTATTGAGGAGTGGTGCGCGCGGGGAGTAGTCAAAACGGTGAACGACACCGCCACCGCGAGACCTTTTTCGAAAGCAAGTCTAGCACTCGCGTTACCTCGGCGAGCCCGGGGTCATCCGGCAGTGGGTGGAGGCCCAGCCCCCGGACCACCCAGTAGCCCGTCCCCGCACTCCCGGCCCGCGAGACGCGCTGCGCGGTTCAAAAAGACCACCGAACGCCCTCGGCGAGGCCGCCGCGACACCTAGCGGCGGCGCGCCGAAGCTCGCGCGGCGCGCGGGAGCGGCGGGAAAGCGGCGCCCGTTCAACTTGCCTGACGCCGTTGACGCAGAGGAAGATGAAGGCGGAGTACTGCCAGCCCACCAGGAACGGGTCGTCCACGTGCAGCGGGAAGCACATGCCGTTGGTGCCGTAGAAGCGTGTGCTGGTGCGCCAGTGCACGATCACTGCAAAAAAACCGCAGGGAGTAACACGTCAATGAGGTTGGCGCTCGCTGGGGGTTCTCGGGGTTTTCGGGGTTCTCACCGGGCAGCACTGCGAGGATGAGGCCCGAAACCCAAATGGCAGCCACCGACTTGGCCGAGGACCCGAACGACATGAGGTTCCGGCCGAGCGGGTCCGCGATGAGGAGGAAGCGGTCCAGCGACATGAACACCAACGTCATCACCGACACCTGGGCTGGACACACGTTTTCTCCAGACGCTCGCGCATTCGCAGGAACGGATGAATTTCATTCTTTGTCTCAGACAGTCGGTAAATGAAACTTTTTTCGTTTGTCAATTGGGCTGCCTACCTCGCGGGCGCGAACCTGCGGCACCCCGCTGGGTAGGCCACCCAATTCACACAGACGATAACCCCGTGACCTTGCACTTGGGAGGCTGGCCCGCAATCGCGTGCCACTCGGTGTACTGTACCTCTGAGGAAAGCATGGACATGACCCCGGCTATGGTGCACACCCACGACGTCATCCAGGAGTGGGCCCAGCCGTTGTACTGGCCTCGCATCACCTCGTCGGCGCTGGCGATCACCAGCAGGTACACCCCCATCAGCAGGTCGGCCGCTGCGCCAGTTTCGAAAATTGAAGAGTTGGCCCCAAAGTGAGGCGATTTAAAATACCCGACGGGTTTTGAGCTCCAGAGTCGCTAAATGGGACTCGAACCGCACGTGTGGCCCCACCAATGAACTGCTCTCCGAATGGGGAATCCATTGGTGGGGTCACACGTTCGGTTCGAGTCCCGTTAAGCGACTCTGGAGCTCTGCACGCGTCCGGAGGTTTGCCCTACCGGCCAGGCTGCGGATGACGAGGCTGAGCACGCGGTTGTCGTCGTTGAGGGCCGCTCTGCCCGACATGACGAGCACGTTGGCGCCCAGCGTGAAGCCCGCCACCAGCCACACCGTCAGCCGCAGCGGCAGCGCGTGCAGCAGGTGCTCCATGGACGACACGCCTTGCAAACATTTTTACTTTCAAAAATTACAAATGTTTCAAAAAAAAATTATGAAAATTGAAAAACCGGCTTACCGTCGTTGTTCGGCTTGCATCGCGGCACGTGCGGCACGAAGGAGCAGTAATAGTAAAATTTGAAATACCTGCCACGGAGGAGGAGGCGGGAGTTAGTGGGGCCTACACCTCGTCTTGCCACGCGGACCGTCAATCAATGCCAGTGTACTCACACGTTGGACAACTTGGGCAGCACGGAGAACATACCGGTGTCTATGTCGTCAATGTCTATGTCCTCCAGCCCTCTGAAAAAAAAAGTCCGTTTGATTCGTTGGCAGCCTAAAACACTGTCACCTTATTAATTTTCAATACGCAGGTACTTCTTACAGAGATGTGAGGTTGTGTAGTCGGAAGAAAAGGTGTCCTGGGATGAGCACGGGGTTTCCGCCTAGATCTCTGCGACGGCACGGTGTTTGTTCAGTTCGTAACTTGTAATTTAAAAAAAAAATTCTTAGCAGTTTGAGGCAGTTACTTACAGTTTCGTGAGTAACACAAGAGAGTCGAAGATATGGTCGGGTAGAGATCTGAGTTTGTTGTGCGCCAGACGCCTGGAAACAGGAAACAAAACGTTACGTTGTGAAGAGAATAGTAGCCTTTTAGCCAATGGCAGCCAGCTCACAGTTCTTTCAGCAACGTGAGCTTCACGAAGGCGTTGGCGTGAATGCTCGAGATGGCGTTGTTGTCGAGTTCACTGGAAGAAAAGGGCATTAAAATGAACAGCACGACATGTTTTAGTGTGCGCGTCAGAGCAAAATGTATCGGGGGCTCGTAGTGGGAGGAAATACTTACAGAAGCGTCAACTTACTCAGCCTAGCAAAAGTCATTTCGTCAATTCGCGTCACCTTGTTGCGAGTCATGTTGCTGCAAAATTAAAAGAGCGCATCGTCAGCCACCAGGCCGGCCCCTCGCAAGACGCTTAACTGAAGGTGCTTACAGCTCGCGGAGCGATGCCATGGGGGGGAATTCCCGGCGCAGAAGCTGCAGGTTGTTGCTCGTGATACTCCTGCGCAAGGGCGGATCAAAATAAAAACAAATCGAGTGCTTCTTCAGCTTTTCCACACCTTCCAGGCACTCACAGCCACTCCAGCGATCCCAGCGCCTCCAGCCGCTCCAGCGGCCACGCGCCGTCCTCCAGCAGGTTGTTGTCCAGGAACATCCACTGCAGCCTGGCCAGGTCCTGGAGCTCGCCCGGCGCCGCGTCCCAACGCCGCAGCCGGTTGTTCATCAGCAGCCAGGATCATATGAAAGAGGTGAGAACAGTGCATGAACCCGACATGACTTAAAAAAAAGAGTCGCGACAAAATTGACTGGGTTCTTCGGTTCTTACAGCTTGAGGAGGCTCCTCTTCCCGGCAAAGGTGCCCGCGGGGATGGTGGACAGCCTGTTTCCGCCCAGGTGGCTGCAAGAGAAACGTCGGTGGGGAAACAGTGTCGAGTCAAACGGCCAGCAGATCACCTCCGCATCAGTCAGTACTCACAGCAGCTGCAGGTGCGAGTAGTTGGCGAACGAGTCCTTGTCCACGGCGTCGATCGAGTTGTTGAGGAGGACCCTGGGCCGGGGGGAACCGAGTCGTAGCAAACAGTCAGTCGCGCATCACCGTCGTTGCTCTGTCTCTCTCGCACCGACGGGGCGTGCTAGGCAGTCCTCCACGGGTGCGAGAGAGACAGGGTGTGACTCACAGTTTGGTGAGGTTCCCCTGCACGGCGGCGGGCGCGGACTGCAGGCCTTCCCCGCGGCAGTTGAGCCTCGTCTCGTCGCAGCGACACCGCGGCGGGAACCTGGAGAGGGCTACCGACCGGCATGCCGCCAAAAAACAAAAAAAGGCGCCAAGTCAGAGGCCCGCACATACAGGGGGACCGAGTGGCAAAATCGCCGACGCGTTCACTATCACTGACAGGGTCGCGCGATATAAAAGCGATTTTTATAGCGTGGCGGCGTTTGTTCTGCTCACCGCACACTCTGCGCGCCGACGGCGTCCTCGGGGAGGTGAGAGCGCCGAGCACCGTGTGCAGCACGCCGTCGCTGCCAGACCAGTCGGCTGAAAAAAAAAACTTTTAGAAAAATGAAGGCGAGTTGCCTGTGAGGATTTGAACCCGCGACACTGACCACAGCCGACGCTGTCCTCGTCCTCGCCGCCGGGGCAGTCGATGTGGCCGTTGCACCAGGAGCGCTGGGGGATGCAGGTGGCCGCCGAGGAGCACGGCATGGCCCCGGGGCCGCACGGGCCTGCCAACCACACTCGCATTTACTCAAAACAATAACAAGTTTCGCGAGTCCCTTGTTCTCTGCCTATCTCTTACCCGATTGCGATAGGTGGAGGCCGATGAGCAGTAGGGAGCCGACCAGGAGCAGCACGCCGAGGGTGCCCGCCGCGACGTGCAGCCACCGCATGCTCTGTCTTCGGGGCAGAAACATTAATTCGCCGAATGGGTTCGTGCTCTTGGAAGGGAGGTAACCAACTCACCAGTGCGGCCGAGGACACGCGGCAGGGACGGAGGATGGCGCTACCCTCAGCGCCTCGCTCAGCGCAGCGGGGGCCGCGGCGCCGACTCGCCGTCCTGGGGGCGCGGGGGTGGCGACGGCGGGGACGACGGGGGCCTCGGCGCCGCGCGGTTCCCCATCATCGAGATGAGAGCCCCCTTGACGTCAGCCCGTCCGCGTCAGCCTGCAAGCGCGCCGCCGACTTGCCATTCACGAGCCGTGGAAACGCGCCGCCCTTCCCACGTGTGCCAGCGACGCCCGGCGATCGCGCCGATGAAAGAGGCCCTGATTGGCCCAAATTGCGGCCCGGGTGACGTCACTCACTGGAAAGGGAATTGGAGGCCCCGAAGCGGGCGCGCCGCAAAGTGAAATGGTGTTTTAACTGGAAAGTGTGGTCAGCGCGTCGCGTCCTCTCCGCCACCCTCCCCGTCGGCCGCCTCGGCACTGTACGCGTGACGCGGTGCGCCGCCATGGCGCCGCCAAGGCCAAGGCGGCTCTGAATAATGACAGCTGCCACCGCGCCGTCGTCTCGCCCCGTCTCCCTTCGAGCCGACGCGATGATGTACGCGCGGACGCAGACTCTCTCTTTCTCCGAAGGGTTCTTCCCGCCGCGGGAAATCTGCGTTGGACTTCCCTATTGACCCTACGGTTCGGTCGTGTGGCCAAACTCAGTCGAGTGAACAATCAGCGATCACGAACCCCAACAACGACGGCACGCACTCGGTGGTGGCTCACAAGAACAGCCGTGGGACTTCCCTGAGGCGCGACTCACCCTGCTGCGTCGCGCGCCCTGCTTCCGTACCTTCCCGGCCGTGCCAGTGTAGGACCAGGACCAGGCCGCCACTGGTGCGCTTGACGCTGTGCACTGCCGTGCGGCGTGTCTGTCGGACTGACTGCCGACGGGGCGCCGCCTAGCTGCGTCGCCGTCCAGCTCCAGGGGTGTGGCGCCCCCACTCCGCCCCGCCACGGCCCCGCCATGGCCCCACCCGCCCCAACGGGCGGTGCAAGTACAATCTGGTCTCATCTCGAACCACCGCGTGACTAGGGGTCCGGCTGATATTTGGTTGTTTAATTGAGTGATGAACATCATGTCGTGTGACTGTTGAGCTCAAATTCTCACTCAACTGGTGCAGTGGCAGTTGTTTCCACCCGGCTGTCCGTCCAGTGTGCCAGCTTTCAAATATCTGGAACTTCGGCTCAAACTGGCCACGCGAGTCTGAGTGGTAGTGTGGTGATGGCGCCTGCCGAGTCGAGCGTAGGCAATGCGCTCGACTCGGATGCAGTGCGTGGTGCGTTGGGTGGCCCAAGGGGTGAGTAGGGCTCTAGTTACCGTGGCCCTCGCGGCCCAGGCCCAGCGGGAAGCGCTTACAGTGAGTGCGCTACGCAGTCCAGCTGTCAGTGAAGCGGGCGCGTGCCCGTGGCCGCACCTTCTGGATCAGCCGATGATCAGCCTCTGCGTGCCGAGCGCAAATCCCACCGCTCCAAAACACGCGCCACTGGCCCATTGGCGGTGGGCGTGAGTCCCCGTCGACTGATTCCGAGAGTCGCTTTCGTCGCTCTCTCTCTCTCTCTCTCTCTCGCACCTATACGGAACGCCCCATGAGTGCGAGAGAGACGGAGCGATGAAAATGACTCTCGGAATCAGTCTGCAGTCCGGTAATTGAGCTTCCCATTCAGGGCTGGGGCACGTGCGTGGCACCGGGGCACCAGCTAGAGCAGACTAGACCGGCCTAGACCTACCAAGCCGACCAAGACCACCTTAGGCCGACAGTGGGCTCAACATAAAAAGTCGGTGCCTGATTTTGATCGAGGCCCTCATTTAAAAGTGTGTGCGGTATGCAGCATTTTTGACATTTCAAGGATGGAGAGATGTACATACATGTTGACTCATGGACGCTCTATGTGGCAGCCATTAGTTTATTTTTCAACAAAATACACTGTGCTTACAGTATTATACAAGCAATGCTCCTCTGCAATAATAAAAAATATTAGTCAATTCAGTATGAGGGTAAAAAATAAACACTGAAATGGAATAATGAACTGGAAGTAAAAAATAAATATCTTGGTGGGCAAAAGTTCACATATGGTAATTTCACAAGAATAGCAGGAGCAAGAATATATCACAAATAAATCTAGTTCATTTCAGACCTAGAACAGCTTTTCAATAAAGACAACCAATGAAACTGTCAGAGGGAATAAAACCGAAAATATAGAGCACGCGACAATCAACCACTTAACCAACAAACTTAAAGAGGTCTTACTGGTAATGTTTAGCTAAGGAAAATAGTTACAAGTTACTTGAATCAGCGACCCCCACATACTAAAATCACATTAAGAAACAAATTATCACATTTTACAAGCCATGCTGAAGATTGCCTGAAAACTCTAAGTTACCCTTATGACAAAAAGTAGTAACAGAGCAAATTAGGTCTTACAAGTGTCATTAGGTGACAAAGGTACAACAATGCTTGACAAAAAGTTAACTTTCCCCCACAAACTATGCATGCGTCAGGTGTCATTAAAAGAACAAACCACTTACAAATTAAAATATAGATACACATATGGTTGAGTTCCCAGATAAAACAGCAAATGAAATACTAAATTGAATAAATAAGATACACTATTTTAAAACTATCAGCCTACATGAAGTAGACATGCTTATGTCTAATATTGCAGCCAAAAAGACCCCGTTTCAAATTAATAATCAATCAACAACCAACAGCTGTATTACAGGACCCTTGCCCCCCCCTCACTAAGTCCATGTAAACACAAGGAAAAGGATCAAGGCAATAAAAGTTATTAAATATTGAAATTGGAAATTTCTACAGCCAAAACAAAATGACAATACCTTTGATGTCATTCAACCTGGGTTAAAAATGATCAGAAGAATGGTTACCAACAAAGTCTGAGCAAAGAGAAATAAAAAAAAGATTTGCAGTTAATTGCAAAGTTTCACAAATTCATCAGTCACAAAAAACAATACAAGTTTTAAAAGAATGGAAAAACATCAAAATGTTATCAAGGATTGGGTGTTGTTACTACAACTAACTCGGTTGGCCCTTCAGGAACAGGTGATGATACAATTGGAGCAGTGATGGCAGGTGGTGGAGGAGCGTCACTTTTGAGGTGTTGAACTAGCTTGCGAACTCCAACCATCCATGAACTGCACATAGCTGGGTGATCAACCATTAATCCAACATGAATATGATCAGCATGATCTACATTGCCCATTTTCAGCTCTGAAATTTAAACAAAATAAAAAACATAAAGCACATTTAAATAAATCTAATATTTGTACAGAGTATACAAATTAACTGAAAAGCATTTACCATGAGAGAGCTCCAGTAGCCTTCGATGAACTGAAGAGTTGAGTTTGTCTTCCTCCCACATCTTTTGCATGACAGCAATTCGTTTTTTAATTTCTGTCCTCTGCAAACAGCAAGAAAAAAATAACAACAATCTGAGATTGCACACTTCATTTAAGGGCTGTGAGGCAAATTATTAACTTACCTCTGTTGCTGACAGGCTATAGCTGCGATTGACAACTTCCTCAAGGTTTGATCTGACTGTGGATAGTGTTTCTGTTTTGTCAGGCCCTGGTTCGTTAGTAGCGCTGCTTGATTCACTTGAAGTGCGACTTCGATTTCCACTAAAAGGACCTTGAAGGATGGTTGGTGGAACTGCAGTTGTCACTGTAGAAGGTGGAAGAGTGGGGTTCATTCCACCGGATGGAGGAGAGGTTCCTGATTGCGATGCCAAAGGGTATGCAACCCTTTTATTCAGCAGGTTTGCCCTTTTAGGCCCAGTGGCAGGATTCAAGGCATCGTAGGAGAAGTTTGGTGGGTCGTTCCATCCTGGGTCAGGTATAGAGCCTAAGAAAAAAGAAGAAAAGTAAGTCAACCACTTGCATTTTATAAAGTTGTAAAAAAAATAAAAAATAAAATTGGCTTAAAGCATATCTAACAAGTAACAAAATTTATATCACCAATAGAGGTGCACAGGGGGGCAAATGCAGTGTCAACAAGATGACAGAAACCTTTGTTTACATTTGCAGACAGGGCCATATTTAGCTTCACATGGGCTCATGACAGGGGGAAACGGGTGGAACTGTGCCGTGACACTCTGAGCGAGCGTACAGTGAGGAGCACATGGGTGACACACCCGCGATACGCGATATGCGGCAGATAAGGCCTGAGGAAAAAACATTTGTTTTGCCTCTTGAGGTCTCATCTAACCCCACCTACATAATAAAACTCAGCTGGCCCACTTTCAAGACAGTAAAGGTAGCTGGGCAGCCAGTGAAAAGAAAAGGCCATGTCGTTTAACGAGGATTTGTCGCGTCGAATGCATCATTCAAAGCAGTTTTAACACATGTTTTACCTTTTCTTTGTACCACCTCAGCAGCAGCAGACTGCTCCATTGCAGCACGGGGAAACAAAGCAACAGAGCGCGCCAAATGTGCTGTCGCCTTTAAATAAGTGTCGCGGCTCTCGGCGCCACTATTGGTATTAATGCTGCAAGTTTGCTGGACAGAAAACAGCGTTCTTTTGCTTTAAAATGACGAAATGTAGACACTTCCCATATGCTCTCTGCTTCTGCGTTATTTTTTTACGTCTCGTTCACCTGCGAATAATGCTCCGCCTTCCATTACTCGTGGTGCGCTATGCGCCCGACGTCAGACGAAAAACGTGCCCTGAGAGGTTAAGTTTGTTTTCGTCAACTTGAGGAGATGGGTCAACAGGGAAAATCAAATAAGATGGCAAACGGAAAACTTAAAAGAGGAACCGAAAAGAAACCTAAAAAGAAAGTGAAGCCTTGGTCTGGTAAAAAGAAAACTGACTCAGAAAAAGCTGTCATAGCAAAACTTCGCAGTAAATACAACCAGGTATGACTTCCACTTCATCCCCTTATACTTCAAACCTTATTTGATGAAAGAGAACTCATGTAAGCATTATTTCTGTCTTTAATTTTCAGATCGATCCTAAGAAAATTAAGTACTTCAAAGACTTTCCATTATCGGATGAGACCCAACGAGGCCTCAAAGAACATGGGTTTGTTGAGCCGACAGAAATTCAAAGAGAGAGCATTGGACTGAGTTTGAAAGGTCAAGACATTTTAGGCGCTGCCAAAACTGGGAGTGGAAAAACTTTGGCATTCTTGGTTCCGGTAAGAATAATTCCCATGCTCCTTTACTCGTTATCAGTCGATCAAAGCCTACCCATAGTTTTACTTATTCTTTACACATCAGATTTTAGAGATTTTGCACGGTAAACAATGGACTCGTTTGGATGGCTTAGGAGCATTAATCATCACCCCAACTCGTGAATTAGCCTATCAGATATTTGAAGCACTTCGGAAAGTTGGTGCTCACCATGATTTCTCAGCTGGACTCATCATAGGTAGTATGCGTGTCCCTATGTATCTTTCAAATACAGTTTTATTCTTTTGCAGCTATTCCATTTTTGATTGTGTTAGTAACTCCCATGGTTTTTCTCTTGCAGGAGGAAAAGACCTTAAAATGGAGAGGTCTCGCATGGATCAACTCAATATAATTATCTGTACCCCAGGGCGCTTATTACAGCACATGGACGAAAACCCATTGTTCGATTGTTTCAATTTACAGGTGGGAAATATTTTTTTACTTGTATGTTATCTTTATTGTCTGTTTCTTTTTAAAAATGTGGTATTGTTCGTTGCCTCAACCATTCTTAGGTTCTAGTTTTAGATGAAGCGGATCGTATTCTTGATCTTGGTTTCAAACAAGCAATGAATAGCATAATTCAAAATCTACCCACTGAAAGACAAACGCTTCTATTTTCTGCGACCCAAACTAAGTATGCATTGAATCTGTTATTAGAAAATTCTCTTTACAAGAATTCTATGTCTAATGAGACCTCTCCCTGCTTTCAGACGTGTTGAAGATTTAGCTAGGCTCAGTTTGAAAGATCCAATGTATGTTTCTGTTCATGAACATGCTGCTCACAGCACTCCTGAATCACTTGCTCAAAGTTACCTCGTTTGTGAGCTTGAGGATAAAATTTCAGTCTTGTTTTCTTTTCTCAAAAGCCATACAAAGCATAAAGTGATTGTCTTCTTGTCAAGTTGTAAACAGGTAAACCCACAAAGTACAAATGCCATAAAGTCTCTTATGGTTACAAGGCTCTGACTGTCATTATTTTACAGGTAAAATATATGTATGAAATTTTCGAGCTGCTGAGACCAGGAATACCATTACTAGCTCTTTATGGTACATTGAATCAAATGAGGAGAATGGCGATCTATGAAGAGTTTTGCCGCAAAGCCAAGGTGGTGTTGTTTGCGACTGATATTGCATCCCGTGGTCTTGGTAAGTAATCATCCAAACAGTATTTTTAAACAGGCCTGGTTTTTAATTTACTTATATAATACATAATTTCCTCTTTAGATTTCCCTGCTGTGAATTGGGTTGTGCAATTGGACTGTCCAGAAAATGCAGACACATATATCCATAGAGCAGGTCGAACAGCCAGATTACAGGAATCTGGAGAGAGCCTATTGTTTCTCTTGCCTTCAGAAAAAGAACCCATGCTAAAAAGGCTAGAGGACCACAAAATTCCTATCAAAGAAATACAGTAAGCGTCTTTTTGATTATTCATCATAAACATGTTATTTAAATCTAACATTGATGTGGCCTTTCTTTTCAAGTGTAAATCCTGAGAAGTTGACAAATCCAGGTCCAAAAATTGAGTCATTTCTTGCTAAATCTCCAGAGCTGAAAGAGAGTGCCCAAAGGGCTTTTGTTGCGTATGTTAAATCAGTTTTTCTCATGAAAGATAAGGACGTTTTTAACATTGAGGCTCTTGATACTGATGCTTATGCGAGGTATAGTCTTACCATAAAGCTTGAAATATTCAGAAAATTTTGTGTATCTTATCTTTAAACATCTCATAATTCTTGCTTTTGTCCTTTTTATGTCTTACCTGAAAAGATCCCTTGGCTGGCCATTCCTCCAAGAATAAGATTCTTGCAGAGAAAAAAGCAACGAGAAGATATGCAAAGAAATTTGAAAAATGAGAAGATCCTTTCCAAAGCCGGAAAGGAAAGTTTGACACAGTCTCCTAAGAAAAATATCAGCCCCAAAAAGAGTGTAGGCAAAGACACTGATGAACCTGACTCTGATAAAGAATCAGAGGATGATGATACTGATGAGGAATCAGAAGATGTTACTGATGTGGAATCAGAAGATAATACTGATGGGGTTGAACAGAAGGTTAAGCCTGAAACTAAGCAGGAGCAAAAGAAAATTTTAAAAGGGTTTAATTTTGAATCTGGTCAGTATCATACTAAGCATTTTTGGTGATATGAAATAAATGTTTTTTATGGTGTTGTATATTATTGATTGCAATGAAATTTATTTCAGATGACAGTGATGATGAAGATGTCTTGAAATTGAAACGTCACAACCATGAGTTGGCTGCTGAAATAGCTCCCCTCACAGAAGAAGAATTGAAAAAGCCTAAAGGCAAAAATAAAACTCAACCCCTAACTAAACCTGCAGTTGCAAAGAAATTCTTGAGAAAAAAAATTCAACTTAACAAAAAAGTGGAGTTTGATGAAGAAGGCAGGGTAAGGAACTTTTACACGGCTGTTATTTTGCTAACATATTGAATCGTGAATGATAGAGAGTAATATTTGTGTGCCTGTTGTTGTGTGTCTGATGAAGGTTGTATTGGATCCTAAAAGTCAGAAGGTGTCAGCTCTTGCCCAGGAGTATGATGCTGAAGATGTTGGAGGTATTGACATTGAAAAGGCAAAGGCAGTCATGAGGGAGGAAGATCTCATTGACAAACAAAACTTCAAAGCTAAAATTCGGGCAAAACATAGGTAACAACAGATCATGTAAACATGTTCAGTTTTTGTCATGTGTGTTGCTCCTATTAAATATCATTTTATTTCTAGGGAGGAGAAAAATAAGGCTAAGTTCAAAAAGCAGGATGAGGAGGTGCATGATGACTTCAGTAGTGATGAAAGTAGTGGTCCAGACCTATCATGGCTTCCCGATCCCGATAGTATTTATGGGCCAAAGAAGAGTGATGATGAGGATGAGGAATTTTACAGTGGCGGTTCTAGCCACAAACAACACCGCAAAAAGAAAAATTCATTTAGTTCAAGGGAGGATGATGCAAGTGAAAGTGACGAGAGCAGCCCTCCTCCTCCCCCTCAGTAAGTACATTTATGGTTTGTCCAATAATTTGTGCATCTTATTAAAATTGCCTTCTGTATGGGATTGTTATATTTTACAGGTCCAAGCGCAAATTAAAGAAACAAGGAGGTAAAGAAGGCAAGAAGGTTCGGCACAACAAAGAAGAATCGTATGCTACATTGGACACTGGGTTATCTCTCCAAGAAGATGAGGAGCTTGCTTTGAAATTCCTAAGGGCTGGTCGCTCATAAATTTATGTTGATATTTGTTATGAATTTTAAGTTAGTGAATAAATCATATTGTATGGATTAATAACATGCATTGAAATTAGTATCAATGTATTCTTTGGAGGGGGTGCACTCACCCCTCTGTCAGTAGTTTCTTTAAAAAAATGGAACCGGATGCATAACATCTTTCTGACAAGTGGGATTACACCATGGAAGTAAACTTAAGCCCACAAAAAATTACTTCACAATTCTACAAGTGAATTACTATCACTGAGGGCAAGAACAAACTAGTTTCAGTAATTTAACAACAACACTCCTTGTTTGCATCAAGTACCAAAGACTGTCATACAATTTAACTAAAGCAGGGTAATGATAAAGGAAAACAGATTTTTAAGCAACCATACTTTTATTACACAAAGCTGTACAAATCGAGGATGGCTGCAAAGCCTGCATCTAAATTATGAGTTGGAGTTGGGTCCTCGCCTCCTGCCGAAACCGGGAACGACGTTAACGAAGCGGCGGTTGTACTGGATACGCCTCTTGGCACGGCCAGTCCTCTTCTTTTTCTTCTCCTGCTTCTCAACCTTGGGGGTCTGTCCCTTGACCTTACCGGCACGAGCCAGAGAACCGTGGACCTTACCTAGGGGCAGGAGAAAAGCAGAATTAGATCAAGGGTAAGAGACAATAAATGGGAAGGAAGATGTTCTCGATTGGGTCCAAGGAAACACAAAAAGGCATTTCAAAGAAGGTGTAGAGCGTATGAAACACATGTAATGAATAAGGGAAACATAAAAGTTACCACAAAATGACTTGGTACTTCAGTTTGTTTTTTTTTAAGTTAAATTTAGTAAAACCTTAAGAAATAAAATTACTGAGTACAATAACTAAAGTAACCGGTGAAAAAGGTTGGCACTCTGGTTGTACAGCTGAAACTCAATTCAGTACTATACTGTAATTGAAGATCACTTGAAAACTGTTATCATACAAGCTAAGAAAGGTTTGAGGATTGTGAGAGTATTTAAAAAAGCACTACAGCAGAGGATTAGATTAAGTCTTGAATAATGTAGAAAAATCACACAAAAGAAAACTATGTGCATATAACTTGTGACTTATGCCCCGATGATATAAGAATCAATGGTGCACTGTTACTGTCAAATGAGAAACTTACCTCCGAGCAGGGGAATAGTGACATCAATGCTCACTGATGCAAGACCATCAACAGACAGATCGTCAGTCAAGGGAGCGCCCTCGCTGTACAGGCAGAGCAGTTCCTTGGGAACATCCTCCAACCGGGAGATTTGTTCCTGAAAAGTAAGATACAAATGCCATTCATTAACATATTCAAATGTGCACTGGAAGACAGTAATCGTGCAAATGCTATGAGAAACATTGAATCATACAAAGACTTAGATTTCTAACCTTGATCTGAGAAATGGTCTCGGAGCCGGAACACTCCAAGACATGATTGGACTGGGCACGAACGTGAAGCTGCATTTTGTTGTTTGTCTGCAACACACAAAAATAGCACTGTTAAAGAAAAGGTAACAGGAATTTCATGAGTCTTGAATGTACTGATGAGGTGAGTGCAAATGGAGTGACATGGGAATTGCTTGACAATGGCAACATAACCCTACTAACAACCAGTATGTTAAACAGGTGCAAACTATCATTCCAATGTGATTTAAGGAGAGACGACCCTAAACGGAGTTGTGGAGGACTGACAGCTTTTAAAACCGGTGAAGAATGGATTTGAAAGATAAGAAATTGCAAAAGTACGGAAACGTGAAGGGGCCTGAGGCACACGCCGGACGAAACACAACAAGGCAGATCGGCACTAAGGGGGCCACAAGTTTCTCAATTTGAGTCACGCCACTACTATACAACTAAGTTCAGCGATTTTAAACACCAATGTCGGACGATACGGGTGAAACATAATCAAAATTTACAAATTTCGCACCTCACTCCCAAACACACCACAGATCCACGCTGCAAGGAAAGGCGGAAACGGATTCCAGAACCCAGGATCTGTTGCCGACCTGCGATTCGTTGGCTGGGGGATAGTGTTGCATGCGGCCAAGGTTACAAGAAAAGGAGGCCCGCTTATTTATTTGAAAAGCACAATCTGGATACATCCTTTTGTAGTAAAATTTTCAATTTCATTTCTTTATGAGGAAAAAGTTAAGACTTGACCATTTTTTTCCTCTCGGAAACAGAAGTTGAAGGTGTGTGTTTTTTTAAGACCGTTGTGTTGGTATGAGATTTACTTGACAGACGATGTTACACTCAAATGCAATGTTTATTTATGTATTTCTTACGATTATTGGAGCTTTTGAGGTAATTTTTTTCTATTACGTGGTTCTGCTTTAGTCTTATCTCAATTTTGCATGGCTATTTAGTACTCATTCGAGTAAGGAGCTATTTTATTTCGAACTCTAACCCTTGTGGTGGTTCTGTGTTTCTTGTTTACCAAATACTTACCCTCTTGTCTTTCTGCTTTGATTTCAGTGTTTACAACTTCTATGATTGAGTCCCTACGTTCAGACTCGTATGATTAAAGCCCCCCAAAATGGTGGTGAAACCTGGATTTGTTCTCACCCTCTACAGGAAATTTTTTGCAGTTCTGTCACTTGTGCTGCTCCTGTTTTTAGTCATTCTCTTTTTTGTGCATTTCATTCCAAGTAGTTTGTATGACAGAGGCACAAAGTTGCACCACCCTATATCTTTGCAAAATATTGACCACGCTCCTGAATTTACTGTCACTGAAGATGCGCCTGTGTCAGCTCCACGCAATCCTCGCTGCAGTTACTGGGATTGTTTCAATGTATATCGCTGTGGTAATAAAGGTAAGACTTCAAAAAATTATTATTTGATAGTTGTGAAAGAATTTCTTTTAGAATCAACACTGCATCATTCTCCATTTTATTTTATAGGATCAAATAGAATTCTGGTGTACGTGTACCCTCTCCAAAAGTTTGTTGATGAGCATGGCATTCCCATTGGTGGTATGATGTCTCAAGAGATGTACTCTATACTGGAAGCAATTCTAGAGAGTCGGTACTACACACCGGATCCGAGTCAAGCCTGTATTCTTGTTCCCTCTATCGATACTCTTAACCAAAATCGGTTCAGGCCCAAACAAACATCACAGGCTTTAAAATCTCTTCCTCTGTAAGTTCCTTTGAAGTTTTTTCCAATTTTATTTTCATTTTAATGTACCAAATTTCATGTGGGTATTGCATTTATTCTGTTTCAGGTGGAATAATGGGGAAAATCATCTCATTTGGAACATGGTCCCTGGTGCACCACCTGACTACAGTACTGTGGTGGAGTTAGAACTTGGACAGGCCATGGTCGCCGGTGCAGGCCTGTCATCTTGGACTTACAGACAGAGCTTTGATCTATCCTTACCAATTTACAGCCCACTAAGTGGATTGTTAGATGATTCTAACAGCCGTCCTTTGTATTTTAGGTATGTATATCAAAGTAGCTATGTGTTAAAAAAAAATGTTTTAGATAGTTGTGCTGGATTTTTAAAAATGTGTTTTAGGTCTTGGTTATTGGTGTCTGCTCAAACTAATATTCATGCTGAATATTTAACGGAGCTGAGAGCTCTGGCACGTGAATCATCTCAACTTCTGCTCTTAGAACAGTGTACACAGGGAAACTACTCAGTGCGCTGTTCCTCAGGAGCAGGAAGAGAAATGTTTATGTATCCTCAGGTACAAAAAATGTAGAATTTTAGGATTTTTTAGGTTTTGAAATAACCCCTGAAATGCCATGAATAATATATTTTTGTTTTTCCTGCTTTTTAAAAATAGATTCTCCAGGGTGCAACATTCTGTTTGATTATTAGAGGTGCCCGCTTGGCACAGCCTATATTATTAGAAGCCATGGCTGCTGGTTGTGTTCCTGTTATTGTTGCTGATTCATTAGTAATGCCCTTCCAAGAGGTTCTAGATTGGAAAAGGTACTCCTTTTATTTGCAGATTACTCCAAAATACCTTTGTGTCTTTTGCATGGTATTTTATAAATTTCAAAATTGCAACTTCTAGGGCTGCAGTGTTTGTTGCTGAAGAGGAGTTAAGTGGCCTATTGGACACAATACGCCGGATTTCGGATGATCATCTTTTGGAAATGCAGAAAAATGGCCAATATTTGTACCGAAGCTATTTCTCTAACATCAAGACAATTACTAACACTGCTCTAGATATTTTAAACCAAAGAGTTTTCCCACAAAGTAGCAAGACTTATGAAGAATGGAATGTTGCCCCCAATCCAGTAAGTATGATTTTGACCTGACCCACAAGTCACTCTGTATTGACTCATGGACTATGTGTTGTTTACTGTATTTTATTTCTATCTTTATCAGTTGGCTGCCCGCTCTCCACTATTTCTGCAACTTACTGCTCCAAGGTGGCAAGGTTTTACTGCTGTGGTGTTGACTTATGATAGGGTTGAAAGTCTTTTCACTCTTATTAAACAACTTGTTAAGGTACCAAGTTTAAGCAAGATTTTAGTAGTGTGGAACAATCAACGTAAATCCCCACCACATGGTTGGTTTTATCTTTACTTGTTTGCACTCAGCAAATTTTTATCTTGATATTGGTGTGGAAGTGGATTTTAATTAGGGACTTTGTTTTGCTTTTTGCAGCATCAATGTGGCCTAAAATTAATAAGCCGCTCAAAGTAATTCAAACCAAAGCAAATAAGTTGTCTAACCGTTTCTATCCCTACCCGGAAATTGAGACTGAGGCCATCCTGACAATTGATGATGATATTGTAATGCTGACACCTGATGAATTGGAGTTTGGATATGAGGTACTTACATACTCTCCTGTCCTTTTTTGTTTTTACATTCTTCTTTCATTCACTACTTTTTCAAGCCCATAACTACAGCATTATAGCATTTGCAATTGTTTCTTGTTTTTCAGGTGTGGAGAGAGTTTCCTGATAGAATTGTGGGCTTTCCATCTCGCTCACACTTTTGGGATAATGCCACTCAACAGTGGAAGTATGAATCAGAATGGCTCAACAACATATCCATGGTTCTTACTGGAGCTGCTTTTCATCACAAGGTAATAAAATATTTTCTCATTAGAAAAATTTTTATGTGTAAAATTGACACGTAAATCTTTAATTTTATTCTTTTTTCTTGCCAGTACTGGACTTATTTGTATACAACTGCAATGCCTGGAGATATAAAAGATTGGGTTGACTCTCATATGAACTGTGAGGACATAGCAATGAACTTTTTAGTGGCAAATGTGACTAATAAAGCTCCAATCAAGGTTTGTGCATCTATACCTACTTTTACAATATTTTTGTGTAAATTTATTGACCAATACACTTCATCTGATTTCACCTATTTTATTTATTACCAGGTTACGCCTCGCAAGAAATTTAAGTGCCCTGAATGCACTAATAATGAAATGCTCTCTGCTGATCTCAACCATATGGTAGAAAGATCTAGATGTATAGATCGATTTTCTTCCATTTATGGATCTATGCCACTAAAGACTGTGGAGTTCCGAGCAGATCCTGTGTTGTTTAAAGATAACTTCCCAGATAAATTGAAGAGGTTCAATGACATAGGAAGCTTGTGATTGACTTATTGGAATTGTACTGTTTTGAATTTCTAGTCAAATCAAGCAAAAACTGATGTTCTGTTTTCTTTGATTTAAAACCTAACTAGGATTTCAACCTTTTCTTTGTTGTTGAAACCTGTATAAAGATCTCAATGTCTTTCAGAAATTAGCTTAATATACTTGTCAATAATAGGCAAATACTGTCCCCTGCCACCTCAAATTCCAACCTCATGGACAACTATTGTGAAGGATCTGACATTGCAGACACTTCACTCTACTGTACCATCATTTCATGGCATCACTGTATACTAATTTGCACCTTATTGCCTGTTTTGTGTTCTGTAAGATTCTTGACAGCTTGGTTCTATCAGGCAATTTATAAGAAATCTATGATTACAGTACAGCTAGTCATTGCTTTCATAATTGTTCATACATATCATCCCTAGTACTAGTACATTAGGAGCAGTCACAGTTGTATAGAGGTTTTATTTATGTTATGTACAGATTTTTAAAAATATGAATCTCTAATAATGTTTATTGTTAATCAAATTGTTGTTCAACACAAATGTCTTTATGGATGATTGTGCCATATTTTTAAGTTCTAAAGTAAGACAGAATTTTTATCATTTCTGTAATGTCTAGTCAGTAGGCTAAGGTTATTACATTCTAGCATTGTGGTGTAAGTATTAGAAGCTGGAGTTCAGTTATAGCTGAGGAGAACTGTGACAAAACTTGGGCAGCTCTAGATAATGATAAAATGACAGCAGTGGATCTATACTTCCCATTGTATAGACGTATCATGCACTGTCTATTTCCAAGTTTGCTTTTTCATAGTTTTCTAGTCATTATTTCTGAGTTACAATTTATTTTTATGGTGTCAAAAGAGGCTCAAAACTGTTTACGAGGCACTTGGTAGACTTGGACCGAAAATGTCCAATGTCCAACCTCAGCCGTAGCGATGTTCTGTTCTATGTCCAGTCTAACACAATTGACTAGTCTGCAACTTGCACAGAAGAACAAGGCGTACATTCCTGGCACCTTCTTTTTATACTCGCAATGAACTTGCACAAATCGTCACTGCTCAAAGATACGAGCAATTACTGGTTTAATTAATTTGGGAATTTAGTGAACCCATTTGTAAACTTTCTGTTGCCCAGTGATTATTGTGAAAGATGAAGATCTGTTAAAAGTAATAAATAATCAAATAGTACTTGTAAGTGAATGTTTATTTCCTTAACCAAGCTAACAAAATAACTAACTTAAAACATCCAACTAAAACACCCATGAAGGTTACAAATTCAAAAGTTAAAACACGTAAAAATAAAATGTGATCGTCAGAAGAAAACAGTAAAAGTAACAAAAAAAAATGGGAAGACGACCCACTCTAAAATTAGTGGAAGCTGAACGTGGGTCGTCTTGGCTTCACCACGGCGGTAGTTGAGTCAGGATGTTGATGCGGTGGTTCTCGGCTGCTGCACCAAGAGGTGAGCTCATCTTGACTCGAGGGCCGTCCACCTCGTCGGCAAGGGCCATGTCGTTCGCTACAGCGTCGGGGCCGCACCCGCCGCGATGCAGGCCGTCATGCAGACGCCCAGGGCAACGTTGCAGGCGGGCACCGAGCCCACCCCCATGACCGAGCCCGCGGCGAGGTAGCACGCCACGGCTAGCGCGTTGCAGCCCGACTGGCAGATCCCGTAGGCCGCCGGGCCGCCCATCACCTGGACGGGGCCCAGCACGGCGGCGAGCACAAGCACGGCGAGCAGGAAGCTGGAGGACCTCATGGTGGCGATCTGCGGACGCAAACCGGAGCAGAGGTTAGAGCACCGTAGCTCCACGACGGGGTCAGCACCAATCTCGCCCATCCAACACTCAATCAGTCGCAACGAAGATGAACACCCTACCGAGCCAACGCCCGAGATGGCCTGGACGATCTAATGAACTCAATACTCCAGACGCGATCCAACCAACAGCGGCCACCAGTAAACACCTCAGCGCAGAGGCATTTTGCAACAAAGTTTCACTTCACAGATTGAACCTAATCTGGCTACTTACTTGCAATGGTGCTGGATGAAGAGCGACAGCGGGGGCTGCGTGCGGGCTGAATTTGCTGAATTTGCTGGACTGGCTGAACAGGGCTACTGCTGCGTCTCGACGAGCAAAGTCGGCTGGTGCAAACGGGCGGCGTTCACGCATTTATACGCGGCCGAGGCGCAGACGCCAAGGGGAACTCGGAAGAAAGACTGGTCGTGCTGCCAACCTCGGCCACCGAAACCTTCGACTCACAAAGAAAATTGTCAGAGGCCGCAAATCATCAGCACAGTGAAAGGACAGTTCAGTTTTCATCTACAAAGTTCACCGAATCTAACCTAGCCGCGTGGCGAGAAAACCTCGAAGAAATGTTACAGACCATGTTTGACAGAGTGGCACCACTGGCGACAGCGCGCAGGAGTGGGGGAGAAAATGGCCTGCCCACCCCGTCGTTCCCGGGAGGGGGACTCCCTGGTCGATGCGGTCAGGGGAAGGGGGAGGGGGACGGGGCTGTCTGGCGTCTGGTCACCAAAATAGCATGGAAAGTTCAAGGCTCGGGGGCCCAGCTACGCATTTAAATATTCACTTTTGGGAGGGGAAAAACGGGTGGAACATAGCAAAGCTCCGCGAAGCCCCCGCACTCGCATATTTCGTAATTTAGATTAACTCGTCAGGCCTCAATTGAAAACTATCGAAATCCGTACAGGTGACAAACTGTTCTGCGCATTTGTGCATGAGCGGCCACCTGAGCAAATGATGAGTAACCGAAACAAACGAAATGGAAGAGCCCTTGAGGGGTCACCTTGGGACAGGGAATGAGTCTTATTCGTCACATTAATTCAGCAATTCGTGGAACTTGACTCGCGAGGGGCATACACGGCGGTATTCCCTCGCCGAGTCCTCGTCTCAAGCACGTCCTCGATGACAGCCCACTGTACAGAATTGAGATACCCTTTAGGCGGAGGCACGTCTGCGTCTGCAAAGTATCCGGTGCATCACACTCGGCGAGACGACTCGCGACCTTTTGCCACATGCAACTACAAGCGCCAACAAAGTCGGCACTCCTCGTCAGAGTATATCATGCCGTCTCAGACACCGAAATATCGGAGTCACCCCACGCGGAGGTAGGCAACTCAAACGACACCTTTACGGCCCACTCATCGCCGGGGAGGTAGGCAACCCAAATGACACTCCACGCCGCACTCGTCGCCGTGGAGGTAGGCAACCCAAATGACAGTCCACGCCATTTGTCGCCGTGGAGGTAGGCAACCCAAATGACAGTCCACGCCATTTGTCGCCGTGGAGGTAGGCAACCCAAATGACACTCCATGCCGCACTCGTCGCCGTGGAGGTAGGCAACCCAAATGACACTCCACGCCGCACTCGTCGCCGTGGAGGTAGGCAACCCAACCGACCCTCTGGTGCTGATCACTGGTGAGCGTAGCCTTCTATGACGCAAAAGTTGACCAACTCTCCGATAGATGGCGTGCCCAGTACCTTGGCGGCTCGGGGGTTCCTGAGCAAAACGCACGGTGCGCGAAATTGGCGAGGGAAGTTTCGGTGAAAATCTTGCGATGGATCTTGTTTGCTCGGACCGTCACGGGACATGAACTTGGTCGGCTGAGTGAGCTGAAGGCCGGCCGACCACGAATTTGGCGTACGTCGTCTGGTGCACGATAGACAGGGCTGGCAGGACAGGCCGGACAGGCAGGGCAGGCAGCCAGGTGCTGCACGTTGCATGAATATTCGCGTCGGTTATGACGGCGGTATGCAAATCACGCGTTGCAACGGCCGAGCCGAAAAGATGCCTCAAAAGCAGCCGCAGCTCCTCGTCGCGCTTTAATTCCGAGAATCGATCAACTTGCCGAGGTCGCGGACCGTCGCGGATCTTCCGTCGACGTCGGCCACCTGGTCATCCTGGTGGCGACCGTGGCGAGCAGGCCACCCCGCGCGGCATACTTCGGCCTAACCCAACCCGCTCAACCCGGCGCCGCTTGCGTGAGCAAGGTGGAGGGCGAGAGAGAGAGAGAGAGAGAGAGAGAGAGAGAGAGAGAGAGAGAGAGAGAGAGAGAGAGAGAGAGAGAGAGAGAGAGGGGGGGGGGAATGGCTGGAGCTCTGATAAAAGCCAGATAACGGCCATGCTACTCCCTATACCGCATTTTTTCCAGCCGGGCGTGGCGCGGCGTGGATGGCGATGTGAGGTGAGAATGAGAGTGAACGAGTGTGCGAGAGAGAGAAAGAGAGAGGGAGGATTCCATTTGGAAATGAAGCGTCCGTGCTTGCGAGACATTTTGGACAGCGTGCGGCTGGCACGGCGCACTGGCACGCGTGCCGACTAGGCGGCCGTACCGACCTTACCGTCGGGCATTGCCTTATCATTCTCCACATACTTGGCATCTCTCTCTACTCCGCGGCGCGGTGATCTAGCGGAGGCAGCACGGGGGGTGGGGGAAGGGGGAAGGGGAGGGGAGGGTGAATTGTGGTGTGGTCATCGGGGTGGTGCTTTCGGGGGTGGCGCGTGGGCAATTAACATATTTCAGCGGACCCACTGGAAAGCCCTGCCGACCGCCACGCTCGGCGCCAAGCTTGCCGTCAGGGTTGCCCTCAGGGTTGCCGTCAGCCCGGATGGCGGCGGGCTGACGTCGCCGTGGTGTTTAAAACGGTGCAACGATGGGTGCGAGCAGTATGCTTCCGCCGCGACGACCTGCCTTCTCTAGCAGTGTGGGGCATCCAGCGGCTGAGACCGACTTGTCCAGGATAAGCGTCATCCACCTCACCCTTCCGATGTCTGTCTCTCTCGCTCTCGTGGGGCGTCCGTGCGAGTGCGAGAGAGACAGAGTGACGCGACCCCCGCTCAGCCTGGCTGCACCCCCCGGCGCTGCGAGGTCTCCATTTTATAGCGCCTGCAGATCCTCGGCGCCACAAAGTACACCGAGTGGGTCTGGGTGGATCGTCTCCATGAGGACCCTCCCCGACAGACCCCGCCCCGCCCCGCAGGCCGCAACACAACTACCCCGCGGCAGACTCCTGGAAGAGCGTCTCGTCTGTGCCGTTCGAACTGGCGAAAAATACAGGGATGGTGCAGCGGCAGCCGCAGTCCAACGCTCCAGTCGTCCGAATCCGAAGAGTCATTTCTTCTCTCTCACGCCCGCACGAGTGCGACTGAGACAGCGACGACTCTCCGAACTCAGCCTGCAGACGGGGATGCGCTGTAAACTGGGGCCAGACAGTGCGGCGTCGCGGTGGTGTACAGTGCAGTGGAGTCCAGTCCGTCCAACTCGGTCCACTAGTCCGCTACACTGCGACACGTCGCGCCGTCGACACGTCGCAAGCAAACTCGCAGCCAATCAGTATGCATTGCCGCGCCGGCCCGCCGGCCAGGCCAGCCGCACCCAGCCGCACCCCGCGCCACAATGCACACAACTCCCTTTTCCCGGATGGACATCGCAAATTTCACGAGCGTACGCCCCGCCCCGCCCCGCCCCGCCTCAACCCGGCCCGCCCCTGCCGTGTCACTATCACCCCTTTCGGATGAATAGCCTCACTCAGACGGCTCCATGCATTCATTCTGTGGCCTATCTCACCGCCCGCAACGCCCCACACTCCCCTCTTCCTCCCCCCTTCTCTCCGCTCTCTCCACCCTCTCCACCGCCCGCCGCCCGCATTGCGTAGCGGTCCACATGCGAATGAAGATGCGAAAAATCGAAACGCAAATGAGGACAGAATTCACCTAAATTAATTAGAAAATTTATAGAAAATTTATTTTTACTGAATTTGGTTGAATTCTTGTTTGGAAGACAGTGCGCTTCTCTCATCTCCAACTGCAGCCTTTCGGAAAATGTTAAATGCAGTTTTTGAATGTGTTTTTTCGATCAGCCTCGCTCTCTTTTCACAGTAGCGCACCGCGCGTGATTCACAGAGCGTCGGCGTGGCCATGGCGTGGCGTCGCGACGCCGTGCGCGCCGCGGCGCCGTCCCAGTTCCTTCCGACGCGTGCGTGGCGGCGAGGCGAGGCGAGGCGGCAGCGCGGCAGCTGCCAAGCGATTGTTTTTGAATCGTGACTTTGGATCGAGTCCCGCGGTCCCTTCCCGGGCCACGGCGGTCCGTGCCCGGCCATGCCGCACCACCGCCATGCCCGGGCCATCCTGGAACGACGCCCGCGTCCCGCCGCGTCCCGCCGCGTCCTGAGGAGTCCCGCTGACCCATATGTGTCACTCGCGCCGTGCGCCCGCCGTCGGCCTGCCGTCAGCCTGCCGCCTACACTGCAGTTCCGATGGAAAGCAGCGACCGGGCCTTCCCTTCCCTTTCCGGCATCACAATAGAGGAAAAAAAATCGAATTGAAAATCGACTCGCGACAACGGGTTGGTGTAATCGGACGGAGCGGCGTCGCCGTCGTCGCCACCCTCTCTCTGCCTGCTCTGCCACAGTCCATTTCACTCTTCACACCTCTCGCTCCATTTTCCGCCGTCTGTCCGCCGGGCGGGCTGGGGCTGCTGGGGCTGGGCCGGGTGAAGTACGGCCGAATCGTTTGCTCTGCACCCCCCGCCCGGACGCCCGGCCGCCCCTGCCGTCCCTGCCACCGCCTTCCCGAATTTTCAGCTTCATCTACCTTTGACGAGGATTCATAGAGGGCGCTGGGGCGGCGGCCAAGACAGCGCCAGATAGGCCCCGCCGGCCCCGCTCCCCCGGGTATCGCCCCTCAATTGCCGCAAGGCGGCGGGGAGTGGCGATATGGACACAACAACACAAAAAACAAAGAGGATTTTTTGGAGATAACGTTGAGAGGCGTGCGTGTGGAAAAGCGGGTGCAAAATCGAAACGAGATTCGAACGCAGGACTCGCTGGACTGCCGTCCGAAGAGTTCGGAAGAGTCCCTTAATCCTCTCTGAGAGAGATGCGGAAGTCAGCGAAGAGCGGTCGCCTCGTCGCTCTATCTCTGTCGCACTGAAGGCGCGGTCCGCGGGGGTGCGAGAGAGACAGAGCGACGACGAAGCGCCGCCTCTCGGGACGCTCGGCTGCCTGCCGTAAATTTGTGTTTTTCACGCCGGCGCGGCGTGTTGGCGGCCGAGGGGCGCCGCCGGCCCTAGCCTCGCTCCGGGCGCCGTGGCGGGCCGTGGCGGGCCGTGGCGGGGGTCATGCAGGAGACGACGAACTGCGTGCTGCAGCCGCGCCGGTCGCGCGCGTCGACGGGCTGCTTGGATAAGAAATGGTTTATTGCCTCACCGCGGCGTGGCGGCGTGGCGCTGCGGTCAAACGAGCCATCG